TTATAGCTTGGTTTTTGGTCTGATTTGTATCCTTAATGGCTTAAGGATTGCAAACAAAAACGTGTTTGATCTTATAAATACCGAATCCGTGGATGAGAAACAACAATTACTCGTACCTGAGCTGCTTCAATTTCTGTTAGATTCGACTTCTGGAAAAAAATTGTTCTCGTAATTCGGAGGTAATGTGACCATTTCTACTGCCAAATTTTCATTGAAGTTAATTGTATTTGAACACAATTACCATAATCTAATCCTAATTTTACTGCCTAATTGAAATATCAAAAACCCCCCAAATTAATTTACACTTACATGAACCCTAATTATTTACAATATAAAATTGGGGTTGAATTAATAACAGAAAACATGCAATTTCAATTATACTTAGCAATTGTAACATAATCACGCAAACAATTGCAAAAAATTACAACAGAATTCATGAAAATTGCTTACCTTTTCGCTGTTTGTCGTCGAACAGTTCAATTGATTCAGGGCCGAGTACAATCTTCAATAATTTGATAATTTGAGGATGTGGGATTGTTAAGGATCACCCAAAATCAGAATTTGTGAAGAAAATGGCAAAAAAAAACTTCAATCTTCACGAAATAGATGTAGAAATGAAGAAGTTAGGTTTAAATCAATGGGAAATCGGGAGAATTTGGGGATAATTTCAAAAACTAGCTGTTATGGCGGGCCCCTCTAGCGGTTTCCGTCACCGGAGTTAGGCTTAGGTGGGAAAAGTGATGTTTAATTTTTTTATGAGGTGGTAAAGTAAATCTTTTTTTTTGGAGGTGGTAAATTCAATAAAGTCGTTATTTGAAGGTGGTAAAAATCAAAATTTCCTGAACCTTTTGCTAATATTAATCTTAACATCCTTAACATACTTTTAAATAGTAAATTATTTTTAAATGAACATATAACATACGAGAATGAACATTTATTTATTTTATAATGAACAAATTAAATTTGTATTTAAATTTTCTTACATTGAACAAAATTGCTGGTAACAAATTAATAAACGCCTATTTAATTTCATTGTTCGTTGTCTTTAATGCAGTCATTGATGTTAAAATTCTTGTTCTGAACATAAAGAAGTTCAAAATTGAAATTTATTTAACCAAAATGAAGTAAATTGCCAGTAAATTAACCAAAATTGCAATCAAAGTTGACAAAATTGTTGCATTTATAATTAATCAATTACAATTTTTACAAAAAAGATGTATGTAATTGGCGAAATTTACAGGAAGGGTTAGTTTTGTATGTGGCTAGCCACATGGCGTGGTCACATTGGTTTATAAGAGTAATCTTCATTTGTATGTATGAGTAATCGCATTTATTCATAAGGATAACTCTATTTTGTCCATAAAAGTAACCCAAATTCAATATACGAGTAAAATCAAGTAATTTAGAAATAAGTAATCTCATTTGTTCATTCGAGTAACCCCTATTCTTTTATTTTAAAAAATGAAAGAATGATTCCACTAATTTAAGAGAGTAACTCCTTTTTTCTCATTTAAGTAACCTACAAACGTTAAAGTAACCTCATTTGCTCATCACCGTGACCCCCCTATTACTTAATTAATGGTTTTATATGTTATTATGTAAAGTGGTTACACCATGTGACTAACCACGTATAAGAATTTGTGTTACACTAATAGTATGAAACATAGAAGGAAATTGTAAAATTACCTGTTCTGAGGAATTTATTCAAATTCTTTGTTAGCACTTTCAATTTCATGTATAATGTCCATATTTATGAAGTTTTGATAGCAAGTTATTTAGATCTTGAAGCTTTTGAATATTGAAATGGAGGTTTGAAGAGAGAGAAAAAGTGAAAAATGAAGAGAGAGAAAGTGAACATTCTAGGAGAGAGAAAGTGGAGAAAGGTAGAAAAATATGAAAATAAAATGAATTTTAATGCTATTTATGGTTTATAGAAATATAAATATTATTTATATATAACAAAAGGATGACATGACATGGGGTACATAAATTAGCAGCTAGTTTCGATGTAGCTATTAATATGTAGTAATTGAATATTGATACCTATCTCGAATATAATCAAATAGAATCATGGGGAGTACGCAAGTAAGGTGTTTATGCCCCCTGCAATTCATCCTACTGCTGCTGTTTCTTCATGGTCTTGCCTGGGGTCTGGTTGGGTTAAAATTAATTGTGATGCTCACATTGGTCAAGCTACAGGGCTAGGGGTTGTGATTAGAGATGAAAGGGGTAAGGTGGTGGCTGCTGCTGTCCGCAGGGAGCATGCAGGGTGGAGTCCTGCTCTGGCCGAAGCTGCTGCGTGCAGATACGGGATGCTGGTGGCGCAGGTTGGGGTACAGCAGGGTGATTATTGAGAGTGATGCTCAGCTTGTTGTGCGTGAGATTAAGCAGAAAGTGCAGGGATATGATCCTTTTAGCTTGTTGTTAGATGACATTATGTCACTTTCTAGTTCTTTTTCTGATTTTCCGATTTCTCATATTAAAACGGCAGGGAATACTTTGGCTCATCTTGTTGCGAGATGGGTGAGTAGAGGTTGTAATGGATACGTTTGTTTAGGTCCGTTTCCTCAAAATTTACAAACTTTGGCGAAACTTGATCTCGTTTAATATGACCCCGTTACGTTATTTCTCAAAAAAAAAAAAAAAAAAAAATAGAATCAAAGGAGTCAATCAAATGTTATTGGACTAATTAACCTATTGGGCTGATTTGCAACTATTTCATTTCCTCTAAAACAAGCTTTTAGCTTTATGAAACCATTCTCTAAATAATGGCCTATGGGCTAGCCAGTTGGTTTTTTTTTTTTTTTTTTTTTTTTTTTTTTCATTTAATGACTTTTAATCTCTTATAGATGTTACAATCTAGCCTTATAATACTCCATAACTCCATAATTGTATAATAATTATATGATACTCCTTTCGTTTCATTTTACTTGATTAAATAGTTCTTTTTCTTTTAAATTAATGCGAATGAGTCAAAGGGCCAATAAGTTACAAATGAGGGTGGAGGATTTGAACCTAATATCTATCGTAGATAGGACATCAGTCTTAACCACTATGTCAAGATATCATTGGTAGATAGAGGATGTACTTGAATTGGGTCGATTCCCACGAAGTCCTTGCCATTGGACGAAAGTGGAGCACTAAAGCCAAGGTTGCTAGAAGGCATATATTGGATGACCATAGGGAGTATAATTAGCACAATAACTTGCAAATCTAGCCTCTTTATTTTGACCATAAATTTGTAGCACCACGCAAATTGTACATTTTTGACAAAAACATAACTTATTTAATGGACTATTCTTCACATCATCTCTAATAGATGATAATGGGAGTTACAGAGATAATGGGTTTGCTCCTCTAAATTACATGTTTTTATAGTGACAATATTGTCATACTCCACTTCTCATTCTATTTCTCTTATAAGAAGTGCATGAGTTTAAAGTAACATACCAACTTAGTCACTCTTAGATAGGGAGTGTATATTTATAAATTAATCAATTAATACTTTACTCTTTTTGTTTTATTTTTTATTTATTTATATTTTCAAAATTACAGCACTTCTTATTTCATGTTTACCGATGCAATATATCAATAGTTAATATATTTAATTACCGACATGTGAAATTTGATATAAAAAACTGATACTCCCTCCATTTTTAATAAGTATATTAACGACTAAAATTTTAACTTGACAATGTGGCCTTTATAACTATAAAGAAATAATAAAAAAGAAAAAATAGAGAGGGAGTATATTGAATTGTAGCAAATTTTTTTTAGATATGTTACACTTACACACACATGTATGAATACATGTATAAGTGTATAACAAAAAAAATTACATTGTTAGTGAAACTATGTTTAGGAGTATATTGTCCAATATACTTAATTCTTGATTTTTTTTCTCCTGATAAATTCAATATAAATAATTTAGTAATAGTTTCTAGCTAGATTTACCAATGTACGTGTGTGTATATATATATATATATATATATATATATATATATATATATCATTCTCTACACTCTACTATGGATATTTCAAGTCAACTTTTTTTTTTTTTTTTTACATTTTTTTTTACAAATAATATTTTGAGTTTTGATTTAATTTCTTCTGGTTTTTTCTTCTTCTTCTTCTTCTTCTTCTTTGCTTCCAACTAATTTGCTTCTTTGCTTTGGTAGACTCAAATGTATTTCGTTCGTCCAAATACAATGATACATGTACTATTCTACTTTAGGATGTTAGAGAAATTAAATAATTACATTAACGAAATAATATAAGAACTAAGATACGAATGGTTGAGACTCAGGACTATGTTTTATACTCTATCACGTCCCTTCACACGAGAACCCCTTGGGCTTGAATTGTGGATCCTCCTCGGAGAGATTTAGATGAGAAAGGAGGCAACATTGATAAAATTTTGTTTGATTTTATCATTTGATCACACGGTATCAAAAACCAACATGACAAGAAGAATATCTGAACCAATTTGAATTTATGCGAGTAGGCCCTTCAAATCATACACAGTATCTCTCCTTCCCACTGAAATACCACTTACAAGTTACAACAACTACATAAGAAAGTTCCCATCCACAAATTTATAGCACATTGGTGCCTTTGTTCATCACCTTGCATTGATTTGTGCACACAAATTTACTTGTATATTTTATATATTATGTTTTGCATAAAATACTATGGCAGCAATATAAGTAAAGATTTAGTGTATATCTAGTTACTCAAATTACTTCAATCCTATCTTAATGAATAATCTTATCTTCATTAGCACCTTCAACCATTTCCTCCCACCACCAATAGCATTATTCACCATGTATATACAGCACCAAGATAAGTATATAATGGCGCACTTTATGTTATTACTAAGGGTCATCTAGTATTGGTGCTGTTTACGCATGCGCACTTTTTGTATGTGGCATGATCAGATCATCATGAATTCTTTCACTGCATCAGTGCAATTCTACACTATATATATGTTATGCATTAGGTGCATGAGATGAGTGCAAATATATTTCCCTAAGAAACGTAACGTTCGTTGTTTATACGAAAATGATCATGAATATATCACTTTCCTTTCTGTTTTTCTACTTTGTGTTCTTCTTGTCCTTACATTACAAAGAAAGTGATGCTACTACTGCGCCGCCTCAGAATGGCAACGTTTATATTGTGTACATGGGGGCTAACAAGAATAGCCATGATATGCTTCTTAGCTCTTTGCTAAGAAGGTATGCTACATGTATTATGCAACAGTTTAACTTTTTTTTGCACTATTTATTTGCTTATTTTGACTATACTTTTTACCAATTTATAGTATACATAGGTTAACATGTAAAATATTTTTGGATTACTCTTTATACATATTTTTATTATATTAAACTTTTATATTCTTAATAATATATAATTACAAATATTAATGGTCAAAGTTGTGCATTGGCACATGTGTCAGTGATAGTGTTACGATTATTATGAAACAGATGGAGTATTATTAACCGCATTAGATCATTTACGTACTGTATGTCGTATACTCGTATTGTACATAGCCATAGTTATTCACGAGATCAATTTAACTGTACTTAAAATTGATGGATTTATTTATGTAAAACTCTTGTAGGAATAAGAAAGCATTAGTACACAGCTACAAGAATGGGTTTTCAGGATTTGCTGCACGGTTATCAGACTCAGAGGCAAGTCAACTGAGCAAACAACCTGGAGTTGTTTCAATGTTTCCAGATCCTATGCTTCAACTCCATACAACGCGTTCATGGGATTTCTTACAGTACGAAACTTCTGTATTAATTGACTCCCAACCACGCTTTAATGCAGTTCCAGTATCAGCCTCTAAAGGATCAGATACAATTATTGGGATTTTAGACACAGGTAATTTAAATTTCTCTTATTTTCATCCTAAGAAAGTACTAAGCTAAGTTAGTTGTATATACTGCATTCAGTATTGAAATTCTTCTAGTGATTTTCATTTTTTACATTCTGATCATTTTAATTTAAGTATAGGTATCTGGCCAGAATCTGAGAGCTTTAGCGACGAAGGCATGGATCCAATTCCATCTAGATGGAAAGGGAAGTGTATGGTGGGACAAAACTTCACTACTTCAGATTGTAACAAGTAATTTTGGAACTATACATAACATATATTTTCCTGTATATTATATGTCAGATTTGTTAAAAGTTTCTTCAAGAACATTATTACAACATATAACTGTAATCTTTAGAAATCATGAGGTGTATTATATGTGTAGAAAATTGATAGGAGCAAGATACTATAAAGATGAAGATAGTAAATCACGAATGCAATCCCCTAGAGATGAATTAGGCCACGGCACACATGTAGCATCAACGGCAGCAGGTGTCTCAGTAGCAAATGCTTCATACTATGGCTTAGCTAATGGTGCAGCAAAGGGTGGATCTCCAACATCACACATAGCTATGTATCGCGTGTGCTTCTCTGACGGATGCCCTGGATCTGCTATCTTGGCTGCTTTTGATGACGCGATAGCAGATGGTGTTGATATGCTGTCCTTATCACTTGGAGCATCATCTTCATTTGCACCTGAGTTCTCCACTGATCCTATCGCTATAGGTGCATTCCATGCAGTTCAAAAGGGGATCACTGTGCTCTGCTCTGCAGGAAATGACGGCCCTTCTGCTCAATCCGTTGTCAATGTGGCTCCTTGGATCTTAACTGTTGCTGCTACTACTATAGATCGTGACCTCGAGTCTGATATTGTCTTAGGCAACAACAAAGTGATTAAGGTATTATCATTAGCTTAGTTTGTAGTATAATCTTTTCCTTTTATAACACGAATTGTGCAAAAATGACTCCTTCCTTGTTCGACTTTCAGGGTGAATCTATTAACTTCTCTGAGCTTGAAGAGTCTCCAAAATACCCACTGATATCTGGCAGTGCCGCGAAGACCAAGTCTGCAACTGAAGTTGATGCAAGGTAGAATTTTATTCATATTTTATTTTTCAGAAGTATGTGTTTTGTTATCATTTAGCATTACTAATTTTAATGTTCTATTCCCAGGAATTGCTACCCAAACTCAATTGATGCAGAGATGATAAAAGGAAAAGTAGTGCTTTGTCAGCATGCAGACAACAGTATTTACAGCCCCAGAATGAAACTAACGGGAGTCATGAAGAGTGGCGGTGTAGGAATTATAATAGTTAATGATAAAACGCGGTTGGTTGCCAGTAATTCAGGATCCTTCCCAATGACTGTCATTACCTCAAAGGATGGTGCAGAAATCCTTGCATACATCAACTCGAGTGAGTAAGATACTAAGATATACAAGTATATATTATGTCCTAGAGTGATCATGCTCATCATTCTTTCTTTCATACGTAGTATTATATGAGCTAATTGTATAAAAACTTTGTTGAAGAAATTCGGTTGCAACAATCTTAGCTACAAAAACAATCCCAACATATAAGCCAGCACCAACAGTTGCCTATTTCTCAGCAAGAGGTCCTGCAGCGGGCCTTAAAAACCTTCTCAAGGTGACCGGCCATCTTTGGTTTGGTTGAAGAACGAACATTTTCAATTTACTTGTAACTAACAAACATTTTATTCCCAACATTATGCAGCCTGATATTGCAGCACCAGGAGTAAATATCCTAGCAGCATGGATAGCTAATGACAAATCAAAAGAAACCACGCCTGAAGGAAGAGAGCCTCCTCGATTCAATCTACTCTCTGGAACTTCTATGGCTTGCCCTCATGTTGCAGGCATTGCTGCCAACATCAAATCCCAGAATCCTTCCTGGAGTCCTGCTGCAATAAGGTCTGCTATAATCACAAGTGGTAAGTGATCAAAGCATCAAAACTTAATATTTCCCGCAAATGACCTGAAGTTCGTTATCATAAATAGTCTTGCATATATCCTAATTGCTAATACTTGATAAAAGAGAAAAAAAAAATAAAATAAAAAATAAAAAAAAACCTTATTTTTAAACGGATTAATCTGCAAAACTCATTCTGAAATCTGATTTTTATTGCAACCAAGCACAGGTTGTGGAGACAGAACTTAAAATGAGAAAAAGCTATTAATTTTTTTTTTTGAGTATACTTACTGAAGGGTTTACCTTATTGACAGCAATTCAAATCAACAATTTAAAAGAGCCAATAACCACACAAACAGGAGAAAATGCCACACCATATGATTATGGGGCAGGGGAGGTAAGCCCGACAGGAGGAATACAACCCGGACTGGTTTATGACATCGACCCAGCAGACTACTTGCAGTTTCTGTGTTATTATGGATATGATATCTCCGCTATAAAGCTTATTGCAGCTGAGCTTCCAAGTGGATTTGCTTGTCCTAAAAATTCTAGCAAGGACATGATATCGAACATGAACTATCCATCAATAGCTATATCAATGAATGCTACGACAGAACCTGTTACAGTTAAGAGGACTGTCACTAATGTTGATACTGATGAAGCCACAACCTATACTGTAACGATAGATAAACCTGCAGGGCTGGAGGTAAATGTCAGTCCGAATGAACTAAAATTTACAGCAAATGCCAAGAAGTTGAATTACGAGGTCACATTTTCTCCCTCTTCTTCTGCTAAAGGAGATCTGTTTGGAGCAATCACATGGACAAACAAGAAGTACAAAGTGAGAAGTCCATTTGTTGTAAACCGAAGTGGAGTTTGATATCGGTTTTAGTACATAGATATCTCATGGTATGATAGAATATCATCCCTGATATTCTGATAACCCTATAAGTGAAGTGTTACATTATCCTTTTACAAAACAAGAAAGCTTTACCCTGGAGTAGCAGAGACAAATTGTATCAAAGTGATTAGAACATCAAGAATTTGAAACATTCTAGATGAACAATTACTTTCTGTATCAACAAAATAGTCTTGTAAAGTTTCTTTGACAATATATAATGTCAATAATTAGAACAACTAATCTTATTTATAATTTAAGAGTCATGTTAACGAGAAGCCTTTAAAACCCCAATACTAAACTCTCATGCATTTAGTTTTTTTTTATTTTTTATTTTTATTTTTTTTTTAAATCCCCAACCCTTCAATTATATGCATTTTTTTAGGGACTACCCTCCAAACATCTCTTATATATAATTTAAGAGTCATTTTAATAAGAAGCCACCAAAACCCCAATGTTAAACTCTCATGCGTTTAGGGTTTTTGGGTTGTTTTTTTTTTTCCACCACTTTATTTATTTATTTTTTTTTAACTTTTTTCCCACTACTTTATTTTTTTAACTTTTAAAAAAAACATCAATAACTACCTATCCCACTATTTTTTTAATTTTTATTATTTTTTTTTATTTTTTTTTATTTTTAAGAAAACACTACTAACATTTTCACTTTGGGTTTGTTCGGCACTAGCTTTTGAGTAGCTTATAGGTAGCTTTATGTGACCACTACTTAACAAATAATATTAGTGTTTGAAAATGTAGTGGTTGGGGTAGCTTTTAGTGGTGGAGGTAGTATAATATATGCCATGTATTAGTATGGGTATACAGTTCTTTTATCTACAATTCACCACAACACTCAAATTCCCCAACCCTTTAATTATATGCATTTTTTTAGGGACTTCCCTCCAAACACCTTCCAAATCATCAAAACAAAAACATATACAACACGCTTTTTGCGCGATTGGCCTCACTGAATAGCTGCTTGCAAAGAAACAAAGTAACTCCTAGAGCACTAATGGAATAACCCTTATGACACTAACCGAATAGCCCTTATAACACTGAATGGGTAACCTCTATAGCTTTGACAAAGTAAACCCTATAATAGCTGGCCACATTGTGTGGCCACCGATATATAAGAGTAAGACCCCCTTTTTTTTTAGCTTCTGAGCAGAGTAGAGAACATCAAATTTCAGCAGATTATTAAAACTTAGTATAGCAGAGCAAAGCATGGTTCAGAAGAGCAGACCGGACCACAAGCCCACAAAAGACAATAACAACTCAATAGAACATGGTCTAAGTTACTACATCAAAATCAACTTCTTGTATTTTAATTTAAATATATTTTTTCTTATATTATATGTTTAGGGTAAAAATACACTATGCCACGTGGCCCTATTAGAGCGTGACACGTGTCACCTTTAGAGTGGTTCAGAAAAACCAATCTCCTCTGGACACGTGGCACATGCTTCCAAACCCTATAAATAGGGAGATGTTTCCCCATTGGAACACACTTTATTAATACAAACCAACCGAGCACATTAAAAGTGCAGATCATTTACTCCCAATCTCGTATTTCGAGATCATTTACTTCTGCATTTATTATAGACTCCATTCCGGTTCTAACTTGATCGTTGGAGGCGGAACTCCCTCATCCGGAGTCTCCGTTATTTTGTAGGTACAGACGTCTAGAAAGTTAAATTTCCGATGGAATTAAATTCCGTCGAAAATTTCCGACGGAATAGTCCCTCGGAAATCCCAAATATTCCGACGGAATTTCCGTCGGAATCTTAGTTAAAAAAAAAACCTTTAGAAAAAAGAAAACCAAACCCTAACCCTTTTCTTTGTGAGAGCCGCCCCTTCTCTTTCTTTCCTCTCTTCTCATTCTCTCTCCTCCACTTTCCTCTCCTCTTTATTTCCTTTCTTCTTTTTCTCTCTCCTCCCGGTCATCCCTCTTTCCTCTCCTTCTTTCCTGTATTTTCTTTTCCTTCTTCCTTTATTTTCTTTTCCTTCTTTCCTCTATTCTCTACCCGCATCTTTCTTCTCCTTCTTTCCTCTATTTTCTTCCCCTCTTTCTTCTACCATGACAACCACCACGCCATCACCAACACCATCACCCAAAACCAACAACGACAACAACAAAGAAGAGTAGAACCACCACTGCACAACAACCACCATGCAACAACACTCAGGCGGCCACAACAACACCGACAACAACAACATCAATTGCACAGCAACAACAACGACAACATCAAGTATTGTAGATCTTGTTTTAATTGTAGATCTGGTTTTTTTTTTTATAAATTTCTGATTATGGTTAATATTTAAGTAATTGTAATATTAGGTTATAAATTTTATGAGATAATTGCATATTTATCTAATTCCTTCAATTTTTTGTGGTTGATTTTATTTTTATTTTTAGTGATATTTGGAATAACTTGTTTCTCTTATTTTTTAGGTTTAATTGTCGTTGTTTTCGAATTTTTGGGTTTATTTATCTAATTCCTTAAAAAAATTTGGGTTATTTTTACTGATAAATTCATATTTTTGTTTTTTTTTTCTTTTGTGGTGAACGGTGGTCATGGTTTGAGGTTTGGGCCGGTGGAAGGGTGGGGGCTGGTGCGGAGTGGTGGCGATTAAGCGGTAGGTGACGCCGTGGGCGGTGGTGTGGGGTGGGGAGTGGTGGCGGTTAAGGGGTAGGGGGCAGAAGATGGGTATGGGGGCAGGTGATGTAGGCTGGTGGCGCTGGGTGTGGGTGTGGGTGGTCTGGGAAGGTAGGTTGGGGGGCTGTTTTTTTTTATTGACTTTCCGACGGAAATTTCCGTCGGAATATTCCTCTTTCGACGGAAATTTCCGTCGGAATATTCCTCTTTTCCGACGGACACCTATCCAACTCCGACAGAAATTTCCGTCGGAAAATTGCGACAGACTAATTCCGACGGAATTCCGTCGAAAGGCGTGATTCCGACGGAATTTCCTATGATTTCAACAGAATTTTTCCGTCGGAATCCAGCTGTTTTCGTGTAGTCGGTGTTGTAACTCTCCCGTCTATGCTCGTCTGTCTAACATTGAAATAACTGGCCAAAACTGGTTTACAAGGTAAATCACAACCGGTATTTTTCATAATTATCCCGGATGTCTGCTCAGTTTAAAATACATCAATAATCAACCAAGCATACATCCGTCCAGGGGCAAGTATATCTAGGACATCCGGATGACCGCATGGAAACAACTACTTGGCAAAAACTAGCAAAAATGCAACATGCGAAAATTCAACGGAATTGTAAAAAATCAAAATCAAACTTGCAAAGCCGACACAGTCGACAAATAATCATTAATAAAACCCGACCAAAAAGCTGGGAGCAAATTGTTGATCGGATGCACATCCGAGAGAGAAAAGATTGTTAAAATTACAAAGATACACGGCACACAGGCTGGAGAAAGGAATAAAAAAAAAAGAAAGCTTAAGCCTGAGGAGGTGGGCGAGGCGCGTCTGTGGTGGCTGGTTTTGGGGCAGAAGTCTCTTGATCCTTTGTTTGGTCCTCCTCCTTTCCATCAAAGCCCGCCTCAGCCTGCATACTTCAATCTCCTTTTTTGCCGAGTCCTCATACGGCTCGAGCTCCGGCTTGTTCTCCTCTTTGGCCAGAATGGCAAGATCAGCATATCTTTAGGCCAGCTCCAAGACGGGATACTTCGTATTCGGATGCACCAGGGACCAGGCCATTTTCATACGGTTCTCACAGTCTTGCTCATTCTCCTTGATGAGACGGCTCTGCTCAGCAAGAAGAGTGGTCTCAAATTTTTTGCTGGCAGTAGCCGCCTCCTTCTTCAGGCGTTCATTCTCAGCTTTGAGGGAGGAGTTCTCTTTCTTGGCGCCCTTCAAAGATTCGAGAGCCTCCCCCGCCTTCTTAAGCTCATCTTCAGAATTTTTATACGCCTCCTGAAGATTGAAGAGTTTGGTGTTCGTCTCATCTAGGGATTTCTGAAGCCGTTTGATAGAGTCCGCCATTTGCATGATTTGACTTTTAGTTTCAAGTTCATGCACTATCATTGAATATTGAGCAACGTTATGGGTCTCAGACGCCTCTCTTTTGACACGTCTTACCTCCTCCTACTTCCTGGCATAGGCCTTCTTCAGCCCCTCCACGCGCAGCATTGACTGTATGACCACAGCCGGGGTTAGAAGATGTATAAATAAAAAAAAAAAGAAGAGAAAAAAGAGAATATGCAAATTCATACCTCAGCCAGGCCATCCAGGACCCGGTCGGCGTTGAAGACATTGATCCCCGGGATCGCGTCTTTCTCCTACTTGGGGACGGCCTTCAGCATGGCCCGGGAGTACTTTTGTACATCCGGCCACCGGGGGGAGAGATCTACACCAGAAAGAGACGGTGAGAAAGCTACATACGCTCCTCCTATAGACTGCCGGCTGCCAGAAGAATCTTCTGGCTGGAGGTGGGAGTGTGACTTGACCCGCATGGGTCTGCCATGCACAAGAGGGTTGAAGAGATCGGTTGTACATTGGGATACAATAACTATAGGTGTTTCTACACCCGTAGTTTTAGGTGCCTCAGAGGCATCCGGTTGTCGGGCGGAGAGATCGAACCCCACGCTGGTGTTTTTGACGCTCTTACCCCCAACAGTCACACGGCTTAGAGCCGTATGGGCAGACTTCTTTTGAGACTTGCTGGGGGCAGCAACCTCACACCCTGGCCTTGGCTTGACCAACCTTGTGAGTGATCGAGGCGCCTTGCTTCCATCTTAAATAAAAATGGGAAGTCTTTATGGTCAGCCGGTGTAAATTAACATTGATGAATGGAAAAAAAAAAAGAGGGGAGAGACAGGTGTTTTTACCTGGCCTTTAGCCGCCTAGGCAACCTTCTTCTTTTCCACATTCTCCTTGCGGATGTCAGTGGCAGAATCGTGCGGGAGTCTTGCTCACGGGCACCATCCTCAAAGCGTTTATTGCAAAAAGAAACCGTCTGATTAGACCATTATGCAAAAAAATCACAAGTGCAAGGTAGCAAAGACGGCATAAAGAGTGTCGAATGCATCCGCGACATACGTTTAGTAAACTGGGTGCTCAACCCGCAGGCGGATAAGAAAGCCTCATCCCGCAAAAACTCATATTTGGGTACCCAATTCTTGGGTACGCTAATTAATTCACCGGCTAAGAGGGTGGTGGTCGTAAGTTAAAAAAACCCCGCCTCTATTATTCTCTCATAGTCCTCATCTAGGACTTGGGGAAATTTACACTTCTGCCCTAGCAGACTCGGCTTCCGGTTGTATATCCTAAGCTCGGA